ATTAGTTTGTGATGCGTAAAGTTTACCCACCTTCTGCTTTCAGGATCGCTTAAAGAAAGCCACTGCTGCTAGAACCAAAGCCAGCTAGAAGGAAGAAATAAATACCCCCTTCTGTCTAGAAGAGGCTTTTTCTTGTGAAGACGTGACAGTCTCACCAGCACAAGTACCCTGGAAGAGCTGGAGGTCAGCTTTGTCTGTCCCAACCTGGAGACATGGACATAACAGCTCCCCAGGAACCTTGAAGGCCAACGCCTTAACAAGCAACAGAAACACCATGGAGACGCAACTGATGATGAAAACAGAATGGCTGCACTCAACAGTCATCAGGCCATCATTTACCTGTCTGATTTGCATGAAGTGATGAGTGCTCCTGCTAACATTTCAAATACCTTCTTCTGAATTTATCAAATTTGAGAAACAGCATCAAGCAAACAGAAGCTATGTACACCAGAAGATATATCCTTACAGTTCAGAGCAGCTTTACAGTAGTGGCTCAACTTCATTTTCTATCTCAGTAGGACCCACTCATGAAATGGACATCACCCCCTACCACAAAGCTTTTTCAGAGTGACTTATACAACACCAAAATTTTCTACATTTCACGCTATTGCCTCATGCACAATCTTTTCCAAGGACTCGCCCATATAGTCTAATACAGTCCTTAAAGAGTAACAGCTGCTTGCGTGCCTCCAATGCAGAAAGCCAAATCAAGCAATAACCAACCTCTGAATTAGAAAAGGCTCACATGAAGCTACAGGTCTGATAGTTAACCCAGCTAATACTGTTGTCTGCTTTGATCCTGCCTATCAGTTAGAATCACATAAATTAGAAAATGCAATTCTACTCCAACCTTCTTGGGGCTTACCCACTTTTAAATGTACTGAAAAAATGAAACTGAGGGCAATACAAGCCAGGGTTGTGGAAAGTGCTCTTCTCTATCACCTCCCAAGGGGTCCCAGCTCCTAACAGATTTTAATTCTCAGAAGCTGAAAAGAAAAAGAACCTGCCCATACATCCATCAGAAATAGGATAGGTTGTTACTATTTGTTCAGTGCTACGTGAAGAGAGGGAGAAATACACCCAGCCTTTTTGCAGTGTTGTGTTCCAAAGAAGCTACCTTCTCCACAGCCTTCCGCTTTGAATGAACAGAATGAACAATCAATTGGCTGGTCGGATAATATCACAATCCACTTCAAAAGGAAAATCATACCTTTTATAGGTTAATTCAGATTTTGTTCAAAATAAATGAGTCACAGAACAGGATTTCAAATTAAAATGAAACTTAGCATAAAATACAGTGATTCCTAATGTTATCCATACGAGCAGATGTTCTTTAACATGAATACCTGTATAGCTCATACAAGCTTGCTCCCACGGTTTTGAAAGGATAATTGAAAATACAGTGGTATTTCTTTGTGTGTGCTCCTGAGCTTTTTCAGGCCACTCTCAACTAAAGGAACCAACCTCTTTGCCTTGCCAGTCTTTTTCAAGCCTGTGTACAAGGAGCTGCTCCCAGCATCATCGGATCGCCCTGTAGAGGAAAAAGGCAGCTGACAATATACGCGCCTGCCTGTAGATGGAGCACAGCAGAGCCGCATCACCACCACACGTATTGCTATTGCTGTGCAGCAACTTCTGAGACAGAACAGCAACAGCTGCCAGATTACCCGTGTGGGAATACATGAACCGGGAAACAAGTCCCTGCACAGAGGCAGTAAAGGTATTGAGACCAGCGAGATGTCTGTGCACAGGAACTGAACCACAGCCCATCCAGCAAGGAGATGCTGAAGGAAGACTTGGCAGCAACCAAGCATGCAGATAGGCGTGACACCCGGAGCCTATCAGCAACTATCCCTAATCAGATCAGGTCAGTGCAAGGGCTGGTCATCGCTAACAGCTCCCAGCATCACATGGACCTGGGGAGACCCTTGCGAGGAGTGTAGGAAACAGGGAATACATCTGAGCAGGGGAAGTGGAAGATGGAACAGCATTACATTCATTCCCTTGAGAGCAGCAGAAGATGCAAGGATAATACTGAAATTCTTTATGCTGCCTTTAACTGTTCTGCCATTTGGGAATCTTTGTTCAGAATTTCCTTCCTGAACCTCCAGGCTACAGAAGGTAAATACAAGCAAAGCTTGTACCAGTTTCCAGTGAATGAATGCAAGCAGTCTGCTGCTTAAGGGCCATTACAGGTAACTTTTTGATTGACACCTTCAGCTCTAATATAATTCCAACACATCTAATCTTATTTTTAATGTCCTATTCCCAGTGTAAAACAACACTAACACCTTTGTACTATATGTAGCACCTGATACATATTTTCTACTCTATGTACCATAACTTACAGCTCTGTAAAAAGCTTCTGGGACCTATAAGCAGGTAACTCTGCCAACCAGAATCAGGCAGATTTTCATTTCATTTAGCCAATTGTCTTATTCTCCAAGCATTCCCCAGAAGGCACCCATCATGAGCAGCTGTAGATTGTCAGTGCAATATATAATCTAACACACAGCACTGAAAAAAAAATTTACCTAGAGTCCAAAATGTTTAGTGCAAATGAAGATTAATCAGCCGATAATACCAGAAAATCCGAGTAATCATATTACTTGCATCCCAGGGCACCATTTCTTAAGAGTGCATTAAATGAGTGAGTAAAGTAACTGTTCTTACATTTTCAGTTACCACTAACTTAACTTTCATCATTCTTTAAATGCACTCCAAAAACTAGAAAAAGAAATTGAGTTAAACATTAAAGCAAAATCCTTAGTAAGGAGGAGGGATGTCTCTGATGAAGTGTCTCACAGCTACAAAGAAGGCACTCGGAGCAAGGCAAGTGAGTACGATCATCCAAAAAGCAGGAGTTAAGAGGTCCAGGAAACCACAAAGAGAGGGAAAAAAGAGAGAGACAGGGAGACAAAGAGATCTAGAAAAGACAAGCTGAAATACAGGTGTCCATTAGAACTAGTGAAGGTATCTTTGTCCTAAGTCTTTTCAGCAAACATGTGAAGGGGGCAGCAGCTCTTAGCAGCCCTGCACAGTGCAGCTGTCTAGAAGGCACAGCATCATCTCTGAACATCACCATTTACATCTGAAGTGCTTTACTTGTTATTGTTTCAGGCAATTAGTAACATGTTTAGAAGTAGGAAAAGGTGGGAAAAAAACTTCCAATTGAGTATATTCTTCTTAATTGTTAACCATCTCACATTTTACCCTTTTGCTATGAACAGATCACACAAGTTTAAGTGTCTATTTGCCAAAGCTGCAATTCAACTAAAAAACAAAGGTGGAAAAGAGAGGTTGTTGAAAGTGCCTTGCAAAAGAAGGAAGAGACCCTGCTGCATTTAAATCTTGGGTGGGAACAACACACATGTCCTTCACTTGGGCTCTGCAGAATGTTGCCACTCACACTAGGTTTTTACCAAATGGAGAGGTTTGTTCCTGCATAATTGAGGTCACTGCTCTTGTCTCAGAAGGATGTTTACCACTCTTACTAATGGAGTGGCTGAAAATTTAAAGGTACAATAAAAAATGTGTTCAGGGAAAAAAAAAAAAAAAAAAAAAAAAAAAAAGATGAGAACAGGTCCTTTTGATGTTGTTGCTGTCATTCAGAAAGTGCTTAACGACTGCCTGTACTAATAAAAAGGCAAGCAGAAAATTCCACTTTACAGAAAGAATGTCTTAGGACCAGATGAGATGCTGGGTAAAACAGGACCAAGTCAACAACTTGATGAGGCCAAACAGAAGTCATTATGAACTGTTTAATTTAGGGACTAATTCTGAAGCCTCAGAAACTTGCAGGTGCAAGCTTTTATAAAAACTGAATCAATTAGGTTTTACTTACAGTCGGGAAATATTTAAATAAACTAATTGGAGAGCTGAATCTTTAAAATAGTCATTAGATACTACGAAATCCATGGAAGGAGGAGGTGTTAATAGCAACATCCCTCTGAAGAATGTTCTTCATACATTCTTCTGTATGGAAAGGAATTTTATCACAGACAGTTGATAACCCCTCCCCACTAGCATTCTTATGCTAGGTATCAGCATCCTCCATGTCTCTAGCAACTAATCACACTGCTGCTTTTCCAACACCATTGCAACACAAGCCTTCTTCTATGTAACAGGCACATCTCAGATGCTCTCCTGCCATTTGTAAAATGTGAGATAACAAGCAATAAATCAGTCATTTTTAATATCCACAAGACAGCACTGAGTGAATCAATTCCATTACTATATATATATTTTAAACATACCTGCTATTGAGAAATTAACAAAAGGAAAGAGTAGCTAAGACAAGCAAGAGTCATGTTCTGCTGGTGCCTGCCATCTCTTACTTCACTGCAAAATGCTTCCCACTTGCATGGCAGAACTATATCCAAACTTCATACTAGGAAAAGAACTACAGAGATGCAACACAAAAATGGTCATTGTGGACCCAAATATCACGTGACTAATTTTTGCCCACAACATTCTTGTTAGTTACCTGAAAGGAAAATTTAGTTTACCCAGCTACCTATGAGCAGAGTATATGCATAGGCACAGTTTCTATGAGGCAGTGTATTTACAAAAAGGGAGACAGAAGGGAATCAGCTTACCTACCAACCCTGTCACTGTTATTTCAACTAAAATCAGTCAGCAAATTTCAGAGCGCTGAAGAAATTCTGAACACATGACAACAACGAAATCCTTAATGAAACATCTTTAACTAAAGTAAAAAGTTATTTTCCTATTTGCATTATTAAAATAGCACACGCATCAAAATGCTTGTTTTCACTGGGCATTTATTTCTATAGCTTTACAGCTAATTATTTTAGTTTGCAGTTATTAATTTATACACAAAGGTACAAGTCTGCCCTCTAGCGCCTAAAATATGCAAACTATATGATATTAAAATAATGACTTCTTTTTTTCCTTTGAGTTAAAAGATTTGTATCTGGATCATCCCTAATTCCATAACAAGGTGGGACAGACAAAAGAGTATAAAAGGCTTTACTCACTTCATTGAGATAAATCATCACGGGAGTCCAATACATTTGATCTCATCTGATTAAACCAGTCTGCCTTGGATTTTTTGGGCACTGTGAAAGTTGCACAGTGTGTTAGAGGAAGGTAAACAAAATACCCGAAGAAAGAAGGCCTTAAGCTATACTGATGGAAGACATGCAAACTACTTGGGATAAGCCTACAGGGGAGCTAAAAAGTAAAAGCCAAATCAAAACACAAGTGGGGAAACGTGTGATCTGAAAGAAAAAATGCAAATTCAAACACCAAAAAAAGAAAATCAGAGGAAGTGCACCTATATGTTTCATTTCGTGTTGAATGAAGAGGAGCAAAGGAAATACTCTCAACTGATTAGAACTGTGTACTGCAGAAACAAACACCTATCATCTCCATGTTATAGGTTAAGGCTAAGAATATTAAACCTCTTTTGGATGCTTGAAAAGCTGCAGAAATGCCCTGAGAGCAAAAGCAGGAATATCCCTGCCCTCCCTGTCTGAACAGACTGCTTCACAGATAGTCATGTAGCACTTGGGGAAGTGTTCTCTCATACCTCCATATCATGACATCCATGCAACACTCAGGCACCTAGCCATGGAAAGTTAAAATTGCACCACTGCCCCTTTAGCATGTTGCAAATTCTGAATCTGGTTGTTTCTGCTTTCCTTCACTTTAGAAGCCAAATGATGGGAGCTGAAATCCACAAAGCTGAAAAAAAATCCACCTCTAACTTTGTTAAAGAAGTACACAGCAGTAAATGATAGCTATTCCTGGATACTTTTCCTCTGCTGCTTTATTTTTAATTAGTTGGGATAGGCTCTCTCTTGAATGAGAGGGTTCAGCTGCATGCTCCAGCACTCAGAGTTTAGGATGAAGTTTGAACAGCACTTTAAAAAACATGGTCTTCATTGCATCCTGATCCACATGTAACAAAATTATCAAGGCAGCTGCAACAGCCCTCATCTGCTGGGGAAGGAGGATGGGTGCGCATTGAAGGATGACAAGGAAACTCTTGGATTGCTGCTTAAGCACCGGGTACAAAGCAAACTTCCTGGCCTGAGTCTGGCAGAAGCACAAAGATGTTCACAGAAAACCTTCCTGGTGTTGACTAGGAAGGGCTCAGATTTCACTTCTATAATTTCAGCAGCAGGGGGTGTGTGTGGGAGGATGGGGGGAGAGGGGAGGGCAGGAACGGAGTTTTCAAACCTCCTCTTATTTATTATTCATTATCTAAATATGTACATTAAATTACTATGTTATTTATGTTCTATATATCTATTCACACAGAACCAGAACAAAAGAAGTGACTCTACAGAAGATAAAAATTAAAGTCGCTACATTTGTGACACTTCTACAGAATGTTTTCTTTCTACCCGAATTGTTCAGACTTTTTACATGCACCAGCAACCTGTGTCTTATAAAAACCAGTACAGTGATGTCTCATTAATTCTGCCAATGGTACTAAGTAGGGATATTTCAATATCACCACAGTCAAACACTTGTACAACTTTATTATTCTGAACGATACTCATTTCAAATTCTCATCTGGATTTCTTTAAGTACATGTATTTGAATGGGGCTGTCCCACATGAAAACTGTGCTGCTGGATTGCTATTCAGCATACAATATGGATAAAGTAGAAATGCATGAAATTGCATTAGGAATAAATGTGCCTTCTCTAAATACACACTCCTAAAAGTAGCTAAAGAAAACTATCATTTTCTGACTCGACAGATAAAGGGAGCACTGACAGGAGGTTAACAACAGTTTTATCAGCTCCATTACTATAGCAGAACTGACAGAAATGTAAGCGAACAGACGGTAACTCCAGCTCTGTGTCACCAAACCTACCCACCAGAGTCTGTCTACAAGTCCAGTTTCCATGCGTGTGACCCATTTCCCTTTTTCCCACCCCAGCATAAAAGGACAGCAGAGACAGAATCAGGCCCAAGATTCACTTTTAACCCCAAGAATCCCCAGTTAACTTTGACATCCCAAGCTGAGTTTACCAGAGGACAAACAAAGAAAATTCCTATCATTCCTTGAGCTTCTGCACTCATCCTATTTGTCAGAGAAATCCTACAAGTAACCTACAGCCCAACGAGCCTTTTTAGTATGATAAAGTTGAATTTAATGCAAGTCCTCAGCTGTCCATTTCATCTCTTTCTGGCATTCTTCCCAAGTAAGTCTGCAAGTCAGAAACTCTCAAGACTAATTTCTAGTTTTGCAGAAATGCTTTGCCGGAATGACAGGTGTGCAGAACTGCTGCAAAATTCCTATGTCTGTAATAACCACTGAGACATTTAATAAGCCAAAATAAACACAAATGCAAACAACTAGTGCTTGGGAGGACAATTCATCTTTGGAGGCTCATTTGTGCCATGTTCAGCTCAGCAGGATCCTTATCCCTATTCAGTTCTCTTTTAACACCTAAAATAAATTGGAAAAGCATGAATATGTCCTCACAACAGAAAGAAAGAAAATTAATGATAAAATCTTCACCATTGTTTTGCTCTGAAGTTAACTGACAGAATTCAGTATTAAAAAAATAGGTCTCTTATGAAAGACTGAAGAGCAGTACAGTGAGCACAAATACGTGAACAGTATTTTTTACTTAATTCTACAGAATACTACTAAATACTGAATGACAACACATGGCAAAAAAAGAAAGTATCCAAAAAAAAAAAAAAAGAGTAGAATTACACTCATTGAACAAAATGTAATGCAGCAAAATACTCTTTGATGCTGAAATACATCTTTCCTATATTGAAGCTGTCAGTTTCAAAAATTAGCTAGACTGACTGACTGCTTCTAATTTTATCCCTATGATCAACCAAATTATAGAAGATAGTCTAAATAATAGGCCCAGATAGTAAATACATTCACACACACCTGCAATTTAGCTTTAAGAAAATATTTTGCTCAGATATGCTGTTCCAGTATCAATCAAGAGCTTTCTAGTCTCCTATTTCCATGTGTATAAAAATAAATACAATCATAGAAACCTTGCCTTAAAAGTTACCCTCCAGTTTTATTGGACAGCCATCTCACACTAGCCATAAAGTAGGAAAAACAAAAAACAAAACCAAAAAAAAACCATGAAAAACTTGAATGCTAGGCACTCTGAGAATCTAGAAAAGCAAAGAAACACATACCAAACAGAAATTGGAGGAATAATATTCTTCTAAAGTGATTTAGACAGGACTTGTTTTCCCCGTGTTATACATTTACCCATATTGTTTTGTCTGTTTAAAAGACATCATGCCTACCCAACATCAAGCTGTCTTCCAAAGTCAGTAGCTGCACAGATAGCAGAAAGGGAAACCTATGCGTAGAAGTTATAATCAAGGTAAATGACAGGAAAAGAAAATTATCCTTTTCCAAACATGTAACAGCATAGCAACTCTGTCAGAGCCCATGGTCTTCACTGAAGAATAACACCTGAATTTGATTTCTCATCCAAACTAATTTCAAGGAAAGTAGAGAATCTCAGCAATACTGCCTTTTTCGCAATCTCTCTCTAGTCCAATTTAGTCTCAAAATAGGAGGCACTGCATTTTAATTAAGGAAATGAAGATATTCCAAGTATGACCACAATCCACAAAGACCTATGTTAAAAGAGAACAGATTTATAACAAAGCCTTTTTTCCCAAGGTTAAAAAAAAATCCTAGGTGTTTCTCCTGTTTTATCTCAACAGTATAGAATGAAAACTACTTCATAGCACCAATGAAAATTACTTCATAGCCCCAAGTTTCATGCAAAGACTACATACACTTGCTACAAATGCACTGATTCCCTGTGCTCTGTGATCTCTAATTGTTTTCATCCAAGCACAACTTCAGCTACATTTTCAACCATTTCCTTTCTCTACAGGTCAATGCAGACAATGTAACAATAGCTCAGTTCTCAAGGCAGCCCCCATGTAAATTCGAGTACAACAAAAAGCAGGTGTGCTGGGATTGAATCATAATCTCAGTGTAAATCAAGAACAGCTTTGCTTGCAAGAAGCCAGGTACTCCAAATGCCTGCTATCATAGAAAACATCAATATGAGTACTTTCATCCCTGCTCCTAAAAGGCATTTACAGATACTGCAGAGCTGTTTCTTTACCTACACTATTAACCAAATCGAAGGCTGACAGAACTGAAGCAACTTAAGCAGGCTCAAGACAATGTTTTTATTCTCCAGTACACACCACACACACATCAACTGAACTACTGTCACTCATCAGTCCTGCATCTCTTCTTTACCGTGTCTTCAAACACTGTGAGCATCCCCAGAAAACTACTCAGTGTAAACACAATCGACCTGGAATACTGACACAGTGTCTGGATGACATTAACTATTGTATTGTGCAAGAAATACTACTTTTTGAACTATGAAGCAGTGTCTTGACTGCAGTGTTGCCTGTTCTGTGAAGATTACAACACTGTGACACAAAGTTAAGCTATTCTGGATGGATTCCATGGCCTAAACCAAGCCTTGATATCCACCTGCTACTCAGGATGGGTTCTGTAGCCCGAACAAGGTCTTGACTGACACCTGAGCAGCTCCCTAGGCCCAGCAGACATACCAGGGGACCCCAACAGACACCTATCCTTTCAGAGCAATAGCTGAAGCCAGACAAACCATCCAACCAGCCAGTCCATAGCCTGAGAGCAGGAAAATGAACTCTACACTCCATTGCTAAGTTTCTAGCTCACCTCCCAGTTCTGTGCTCACCAGCTCGTAAGCATTTACATTTGCATTCAGTTTCAAGAATACAAGTAATCTCTGAGGTCAACAAACAGGATGTTTGGTGGAAAAGTTGTGCCTAAATGTAAATGTTCTCAAGATGAAGCTTTAAGAACCATGGCTGTTGAGCCCCCGCTGCTCTGCTCCTGCTGATCTTGTGAGACACTGGCAAGATGAATTAATGTGCAGAAACACTAGCCATAAGAGCTGAGATTCATTTGCAGAATCTGACTTTCAGCAGAAGGTACAATATATGTAATAAAAAGGATAAATACAAGGGGATGAAGAACAGATTCATTTAGTACTGCAAAGAAAATACTGGGAAGCCAGTTCCTCCTTCTGCCA